ACCGGCAAAACGAAACCGGTTTGCCTCATTGACCGTACAGTTCGGATGCTTCCCGAAGCAGAGATTGAGGTTGAAACCCCATACTTCAGCGGGAAGGTTACGGCTCTATGTATGACGACCCCCCTTTACGACCTTGTCATCGGAAACATCGACGGGGCGCGAGGACCGAATGATCCGGAATGTTTGGGAGAAGACCTTAAGATAGAGCCCTCGCCAACCCAACGACCGCGAGATACAGTGGAGGAGCAGCCCGTGACGGATCCCACTCGAGCCCAAGGTGAAGCCGCGGTGCAAGGGACTATGAATGATAAGATGATCGTGTTGAACGAGTTCACGGGCCGGGCAACTGGACTTACGTCGGCACGACCTCAACCGACCGACAGTGCAAAGGAGACGGAGTTGGCCAGCCAGGCCAAATGTCGGGACGTGAACAAGCGGGTGAATAACCGGGCAGGATCGGTTGAGCGTCATGACCCATTAGCAGTGTCGGAAGTGACAACGATGGCTGAGGCGCTGCCTCAGATACCGTCGTTGGAAGGAGCTCCACGGAACAAAACGAGCAAAAACAATAAGAAAAGATCGAGAGAGCACCGCAAGAAAGGGCGCAAGCGCCGCTCGAAATACACAGAATAGGTGCTGAGGTAGAATCGAATTGTGTTTGGCAGGGCTGAGTGCCATATGTTGTGTTAGTGTTCTTGTTGTCCTGTGTCGCAACTGTATGTTGAGTGAGTCAAAATGTTTGTTACGGTGATGTGATGTATAGTAATGATGTGAGTATAGTAATTGTTGTAATGAGAGAACTTCATACATTTGTATTGTTTGGAATGTGTGATGAAGTGTTGTAGTCATCTACCTGTGGCTATATTTCATGTGTCGTGGAATTGAATTACAATGTACAGTTGTCTTGAGTGATCTATTGTGAATGTGAAGTGTCATGAGCGCCGGATTGTGTTACAGTCTGTGAGAGGTGTGGTGACTGTTCGCGCTCGTTTGTGTGGTTTTGAATATTATGAGATAATATTCTGAAAGTGGGGGGCAGTGTCACAGAACGAGCGCTAAAAATGGGCGCGCCGCCAAATTCTTGCGATAACGCGTGGGGGAGACGCCGGGAGGTGAAAAGAAAAAAAAAAGAAAACAAACATCCAAGGCTCCCCGGGCGCGCGCTCTCCCCTTGGAAGCGTGGCTTCGCCGACGAACCTCCTCACCCCACATCGGCGGCCGAGCAAGCGCGCGAGAATTCTAGAACGAAAGAGGCGTGGTCACGCCAGGTTGAGTCATCCATCGCGGAGGGCACTCGTACAGTCTCGCGCCTCTCCCCAGCCTTCGCTGCGTATCGCGCCGACGAAATGACGAGAACCTTCTGGAAGGTCGCGCGGAAGGTATTTAACCGAGCAGCGGAGATGAGAGATCAGGAGAAGACGGAAGTTAGCGCCAGAGCGCGTAGGGATTCCGCCGGGTAGTCGGCGAAGGTTTTGTCCGTGGAGACAAAGCAGGAGAAGAAGAGGATTTCCACCTGAGGGGTGACGACTCGAGCTACAGGCAAGAGTGTGTGTTTACCGCTATCGAGCGAAGACGCGTGGCGACAGCTGCGTGTGTGAAGCCGACGTGTTCGGGCGAAGAAGTTTGAAGCTTGGAGAGTGGCCAATTGAAGACGCGAGGTTTCCTGGAAGAGAAACTTCAAGGGCTGCGGAACGACAACAACGCTGGACTTTGAGTGAGTGATTCTCGGAAGAGTATCATCTAGACTTTGGGTTCCAAGAACTTTGGACTGAATAGGTTTTCTATCTCTTTAGTCTTTAAGTGTCTTGGTTGTTCAATGCATGCGACTGCATTGTAGTGCGTATTGTTGTCTGTGTCCGTTGTTTCAAGTGTGGCTGATTGTACTGTGTAGTACGTTGTTTGTTTGGTGACATATTGTACTCAACTGTTGTGGAGTGTGCATACTTGTGTGTGTTGTTTTTGATCTGCCATTATTGAGAATATAATTCTGTTTTGCTTATCAACTCTCGGCTCTGACTTGTTCTTTGGGCCACAGCCGGCGTCCGCTGGCGCGCCAAAAAGGACCACTTCTAAATTGTCCACGCTTTCGTGGTGCGGTTCGGGGGGCCAATACTTCGGCCCTTGGAATTAGCCCGGCGATCGCCTCCCTAATTAACGGGACCGGTGTGACAGTTGTCCTGAGAATCATCTTCGATTTTTAGGCGACTATGCACGCAAGTTATGTAAGGTTACGAACTGCAGTCCTTATTGTTCTGGTACTTCTAAAGAGTATGTGCGCTGTATTTCTCTCTCCAACATATATATTTTTAATAAGGCACCGTCAAATACTTCAGTGTTCTTGTTTTAAGGCTAGAAATGCCTATACAAAATGCGTAACGTTTTACTCCGAACGGCTTTCAATTTAATACGTTGCAGTCTCCATCTGATGTAGAACATCGCATGCTGTAAACATACCTGTAAACATACCAGCAAGATGTGCTGGTATATAAGGGCGTAGACCCTATATGGTTCATCAGTAAAAAAAATCGGCAGCACATGATGCTGTCTTTTACACTCGAAGGATAAAGCCCGCCACAGTAGTTGGCGCATTAAGTTTAAGTGAAATTAGGGTGAGAGCTACGCTAGTTGGTGACTGATCCTTATAACCACATGGTGAAGTTGCGCACTTTTGAGAGCGACAGAGACGACATGATGGACGCGACACTCGCTACACTCGCAAGTGTCCCCTTTGTCAGCGTCAGATCATTATACCACGCAGTATACTGATTAAGTAAATGAGATGGCGGACCAGACCTCTCGCAAGGCATAACGAGCCGAAGTGTGAGAAAGTAAGATTCACATTTCATTACTTTACGTTCTCAGCTGATTGGATTTATTCTACTCCCAACGCCCCAGGAAACATTTTGCAAATCGCAGTTGAACGAACCTCCTGCAGGTTCGTTCCACCATTGGCACAGCGACCAAGTCACCTAATGGAGTTACCACATGACGTCCTAATGACGTAACAACCTCTGAAGCTATATCACTACACAGCAGAACGCGGTTCTTTTGTGTGTGGCGTCCGGCGGCGTGTACATGAAAGGTTCCAACGTCAGTGGAGCCAATCCTGGAGTTACCGAAACACCTGGTGATGCGCAGAAAGCTTCAACCGTATGCGAAGTGACCGAAGTGATTATGCATAAAGGCGAAAAGCACGTCAGTTGAGGTGGATAAGAGTTAATCATATGGGACTCGGATTAGAATATGAATGACAACAATAAGGGCATTGCTCACGAAGACAATTCGGGCCCTACTCTGCTCAAGTCTTAGGGGAGTACCGGACTTAGCTTTCACAGTGCCGTTCAGTGTTTGTGTGGTTCTTTTGCTAGTGCTCAAATCTGCTTTTCTCTCCCTCCATCCCACTAAAGTCCTTTTTTTGAAGCGATTCCCTCTTGATCCTTTCTGCACCCAAATTTAGTCATAATGTTGAAATTTTCGCATCCTTGTATAGAATACGTATTAATGGTCGATAGTGGTAAGTAGGTTGCAGACACGAGAATCTCTTGACAGGAGCATTCGTGCATCCTAAAGAAGCATTGACTTTGTAACACTTGATTTAGGTACACTTTTTTCGCCTCCAGCCATGAGGCGTTACATCGGTCTTTCTATATATAGGAGGTATTCAGGTGACGTCATCCGCGCAAAGAGTGCTAGCACAGTAGTCGTCATACTTGTGGTCTCGCGCGCAAACATCATCGTCGTACCACAACCGAAATGCTCGGCAGTGGGTGTTATGTTCATATTTTTAATAAAAAGGACTAGTAAAGTGCTGCTGCACCAAATATCGCGCTTTCATACGCAGGATCGCTGACGGACCACGGCTATGGCGGCGCACTCGTTGACGCCGCTTGGCACGACGAGATCAGTAAATACCTCCTTATGTTAGCACATAAAAACTCGGAGCTGACATTTTGTCATAAGGCTGGATAGTTGGACTGGTTGATTGTGCAAACTACCAAGAAAAGTGCTGAAAACGATCAGAGATTGAGAAGAACAACTGAACAAGCACACATCTGTGTGCGTCTTTTGTTCGACTCTTCGTTTTCAGCGCTCATAATTCTTTGTTCCTGTAGTTGGAAAATACTGAAAGGATTCTCAATTATAACTTACAGGTGTTACGCATCCCCTTTTATTGTAGATATGTATTGTTAGGCATTTTCGCAAGATTTTCAGACATCATTCCAGGGTTTATAAAATTTTATGTTATAACCATGCAGCATTTATGCCACTACCTGTTATAGTGACCAGTTATAGAAAAACGCATGTTATAGTTCATATATTTCCTTCATAGCTTTTATTATTTTTAATGTGTTACACATTCTTTCTTGTCTCCTTCCTGCAACAATTTGACATTGTTTCAGGACACTGCGACGCGAATTAATTATAAACAGCATGAAAAATGAAGAAAACAATTAACCTAAAATGTGAACAAGTAATATAACATGAAGTTTGAAGAATAAAGAATTAATTACAATAAATAAAAAGGAATATAAGATTGAATAGTTTCGACGCGGTAGCCAAAAGCTGAATTTCGCGACACTGCGTTTATTAGGTGCCAATACTGTGATCAAGTTTGCCTATTTTTTCCTCTTCCTCACTGTTTCGTAGCCGATTCTACCTGCTTCTAGAGCTCCTTGCCAGTCTATGTATTGTATCTCTCATCTGTGCAGATGCTGTCGGAGGACCATTTTCGTCTTTCGTCGGCTCAAAAGGCAGTCGAAGCCCTCTCACGCTTTCTGAGGACCCCGGGCATACGTGAACCACTGCATACGCGTCAGCCTATGTATTGTCAATTTTCGCGTCTCTTTCTGTTCACATCTCTCTCATATGTATACTGCTCTTTCCCATTCCCCGCGCGTAAGGTCGCCAGGCATGCCTGGTTAACCTCCCTGCCTTCTCTCCTGTTCCTTTTTCCTCTTCTATCTATCGTCAATTGCTACTGTTTGCCTACGCATACTCACACCTCCAAGCAGCGATGTCCATCCTGAGTATTCTCCTGGAGAAGTCCATGAGCGCTTCGGTGCACAATGCGGACACGTTGGTGCGAGCGAATGACCGCTGCAGCACAGGAACCACGCTGGCCACGAGACCCCGGAGTAAGGACGACGTCGCGCCTTCGGACGGGCCTCCCTTGCCGTCTTCATCGTCCACCGAGGACAGACCTTCAGACGCGCTTGTCGCGCGCGCGACAATGCAGCACGCGATCGAGATTCTGCAGACCGCGACTCGCGCAAGCCACATCGCTCGGCTGATGTTGGTACGCGCTCGTGTTTAGGGAGGCAGTTTTCGTGGAAGAACTGTAAACGAGAAATAAAAAAAATGGAGAGGAGAGGCTTAGTTGTGCGCCATGTGATGAATGTACAATGGTCTACACGTTCAGAACTATAGAATGTCACACAAGATCCATATAGTCTACACCATGAACACACTTCTCAAGGGGCTCAAGGAGCTGGGTAAGATGATGTGACCTCTCCCTCAAATACTCCCTCAGCATTTGCGTGATGGTGTCGGGGAATCAGATTCTGTAGACGCGCGATGAAACCACAGTGAATTCATGGTATGTTCCACTTGCAAGGACGTGGTAACATCAGGCAAGGTGCCCGTGATGAACGGAACTTCAAGTCAGCCCATGCGCTGCTTCGCACGCTACTCACAATTCCATTTAATGGGAGATAGTGTAATTTTTTTCACTTTATCGTAGGGACACAAAACGTATACACACTATAAGCCCCACCACGGTGGTCTAGTCACTATATAAGTTACTCGGCTGCTGACCCACAGGTCGCGGGACGAATCCCGGCTACGGCGGCTGTATTTCCGATGGAGGCGAAAATGCTGTAGGACATGTGCTCAGATTTGGTATCACGTTACTTCTGGTGGTCGAAATTTCCAAAGCTTTCCACTTTAGCGTCTCTCATAATGATATGGTGGTTTCGGGACGTTACACCACACATATCTATCAAGTATACACCAATTGACTAACTCGGACCCATACGTGGTCCAGATAGATTTTGCACCTTCTTGCTGAAGTATCATCGTATCACTTGTGTCTATGTGCGTCACAATAACTATTCCGATACAGGTGAGAGCAATTCATTACAAATACAGCGAAGACGACAGTTGGGCAAGCTGGTGTCCTTACTTTTAAAAGGAGTTATAGTCAGTAATACGAATAAGTTAAGATCATGGATGCAGTTTTTTTGCCTCAGTATACAGTCTAATCTTGGCATGCATCATGGAGTAATTGATAGCAATCAACTTAATTAATCGTCTAGAATTATAGCAATAGCTTGTCATCAAATGTGGTATATCAAGCTGACAAAGCCCGACCAAACTAACACTTTTTTTGGAAGCTCTGGTGCACTGTCTTTTTTAATAAATAATTATATTTATAAAATAAGCCCTGTATAGATAGAAATAGAGGCTTCTGTCACAGTGAAAATTTTTTACCATGAATGGTGAATGTGTGCAACTGCTAAGACGATGATATCGAAAGACAACGTCACTTTTTCATCCCTCATGGTGGCTTAGTGGGTGTGGTACTAGGACAAAAATAATAGTAGGCAGTTTAGTACGCAATTATAGTATAAATTCTGTCGAAAATTCTGAATACTCATGTTCACGCTGAAGAAGATTGCCGCAAGGAATCTAAAATGTATTTCCTTAACATGAAAGCATGTGCGTCTATACGACGTACATAAAATGATATCGTTTTGTTTGATTTTTATTCGCTATTTATGCAAGAATATCTGTAGTTGAATGTTAAACACCCCTCTGGAAATCATGCTTCTGCGTATCAATTTTTTTGTACTATTCTCGCACTGTCTTGTGCAGAGCCTTCTGGAACTTTACTCAATAGCAGCTTTTAGCCACGGCGGACGTTTTAAGTCCGTGCTATATATAAAAAAAAAACAATGAAAATGAAACTATGGAGGGTTCTAGCTCCCAAAACCATGATACGATTCTGAGAGACACCGTAGCAGACTTCTCTGAAAATTTCGATTAGTTGATGTTCTTTGACGTGCACTGACTTGGCCCAGTACACGGGTCTTTACTCTTCTGCGTCCACCGAAATGCGACCGCCGCGGCCGGGATCAAACCCACGTGACCTTCGGGTCAGCAGCCGAGTACCGTGACCGCTACACCACCATGGCAGACGGTGTGATAAAAGGTACCATACCCGCTACCCAACCGCGAGGTTGCGAGAGCACGGGTTGTGCGCGAAGGTACGGGTTCGGTTCTGGTCCATGGCGACCGCATTTCGATAGGGTTGAAAGGCAACTACGTTCGAATACTCATGTATACAGTTAGCTGCTCGTAAAAAATGAAAAAAAAATACGCGTGGTAAATATGAATCAAGAGTCATTACGCATCGAGTGCCTCATGATTCTATACTAGCTTTAGAACGTGGAACTCCAGAACTTAATGAGAACTTCAGCTGGTTCATCCGGAGCTTAAGGCCGTTTGATGTACCGGAACACTCACCTTATCAGGTTCCAGATAACCCTAAAAGCAGACCTAGCGCAAAGCCGCTAACGTTTCCGAAACGAATGGATTTTGAGCATTTAGAAAGCTGGCAAAACTAAGGACGTTGGCACCACGCCCCGACTCACCAGACTGCGTGCTCTGGGAAAATATCGCCGCTCGTAGCCTCGTGGCTCGCAAGCATCGTATGGCTGCGGCAGCACAGCTACTCAAACACAGCCGCGTATGAGCGATGATCGTTTGAGTCTCCCAGTGCGTGGAAAAGGCCAACTTCTCGGCTACTATATGCAAGGTCAGCCATACTGAAACTTGTTCGGCGCATCCAGAAAATATAACAATAAAAGAAAGCGCTGATAAAAGAGCACTTCGCGTACACAAAAACCAGTATATCAAAGATATTTTACGTAGTGTTAAACGGTCAGAGGCAAGTCAGTCCCTCGGACGTTCACAATTTGGAGAAAGGTGCCTGCTAAGGGTAAGAGGCGTCCGCGCGTTCGAAAGACGAATATTTAAAAAATAATCTCAAAAGTTTTTTTGACCGGAAGTTTGTCCTGTTCCAAAATTCAGAAGGATCACCCTGAATGCTTATTAGTGGAATTCGTCAACTAAGAAGCTTTTCAACTAATCCTTGTGAATCCCGAAATCGAACAAACTTTATAGTTAAAAAATATTTTGCGTTCTGAATCAACGCATTTTTGTTATATACTATATTTACTGCTGTAATCCACTCAACGTTTAACTCCAGTACCATCTGCACATTGCACGGAGGAAGGAAAGGTAGGAGAGACCCTGACGTCACTCGTTGTGAAGCTGCGATGAAGCCGGAAGTCGGCCATATTGACTGGGCAAATTCTCCTATTTTGTTTACATCCGAATGTAAAGCAGAAGGCGCGACTCTTTCTACGGCTCGAAAAGCACGTGGGCTGCGCAGCGCATGTGTCGTGACGATCCGAAACTAGTGGAACAGGGCTCATTACTCTGAGCCAGCGGGACACCATCGGCGAAATCATTTCATCCGAGTAATAACAGGGAGTAAAGGCTCGCCGACAACGAAGCAATTACAAGAGAACGCGCGCTAGATGCACTGGCAACGGCGAGTGTTTTCACGTCATTAATTCAGCGACTGTACAGACAACACGATCGGTCGTGCGCCTTGTGCGGTTGCATTCCGCCACGCGACCCGACGCAGCGTCCGGCCACTATGTCCGTGGTCCGCGTGAAACTCACCGGCGTCAGCATTGTGCGACCGTGGTGACTTTGAGTACGATGGAAGTGACACTTGAACGCGGTTGCTGTTACGATGAGATTACATGCAATGCTGGTGGAGAGTGTACGAAGCGGAACAGAAAAAGTGTTTTAATACGCACATACAAGTTGTTACTGTACACACAAAACACGAAACTACGTATGTGCACATGGTCCTCATGGCGTCTTGCTGGGCTCAATAGCGTCGTCCGGGAGAGGTTCTTTGCAGTACGTTCCACATGGATCTCATTTGCGCATGCGTGGCCGTCGCCTAGCAACGGAGACGCGCTTTTCGAGCGTAGCCGAGCAGAATGGTGTTGGCCGTGCACAGGCATGTCGGGCGTGTAATAGCGCGATAGCGCCGCTTGGCCGCTGTGACTTCACTCAGCACTTGTTGAGAGCAGATTCCGTGCCACTTTTCCTGCGGCACGGGGCTCTGTGGAGCCTGCAGTGGCGACAGCACCTGAAGAAGATGTACAAAGGAGGCACCTACGGGACTTGAAGAAGTGTGGAAACACGTGGACCGGCTATGCTGACTGCAGAGGGACATACGAAGAGCTTTTAAGGGAACTCGCCGCTGTCAATGTGTGCTTCCAAACTGAGCACTCCGTGAAGCCAAATGGTATGTTCATCGCAAATACGTAGCGCGTACGTGCCGCATCAGGATGGTGCGTGATAGATGGATGGTCAAACTTTTATATTTAGAGTTCTGAGAGATGCGACTAGCGCACAGTGGGTTCCTCCCACGTTGGGATGGATGATGTAAAGATTTATTTTATCTGTGCAGGCAGGCTGATGTTCAGCACTCAACGCGGACATGTGGTCATAAATGAAGACATCCCTTTTAAGGTTGTCCAGACCACGGACAGAGGCTGCCTCTTTGGGAGAGACCTGCACAAGGTGCAGAATTCAAGAAATCGACAGGTAACATTCGCACGGACACATCGATCGAGCCGATACGGATAGTTTAATTTGTCACATGCACTCATATCTTTTTGGCATTGAAGCGTGCAAGTATTGGTACGTCGCACAAAATCCTGCTGATGCGCATTCACATTGACATGCCTTCACGACCACATCACTGTAGGAAAACAAAAGAGCAAACCCACGCTGATCGACATCGTTAACGTTTATTAATTATTTGGCAGATTTTATTTTCATTTAGTTATTATATAGGACATAAAAGTTTCATCTGTTTATCGACCAATTAACGTTTTCATGGCGATCGAGGTACGTATTACCAGATATTAGTGAAAAACGCTTGCCTAAAATGTGCCATTCTCTGATACTGGAACCAAGTGAGCCGTATTCTAACAGCTGGACTTCCAGTGCTGTCTGTCATTGCTGAATGCATGTAAAATTGTAACAGCGAAACTTTTACAACTGCTGCAGTTGCAGAGCGACACGAAATCCATAAATGAGTAGCACATGGGGCATCGAATAATGTTAAAGTGAACATCTTTGAAAATAATCTGTCTTTGGCAAAGAAATATCAATGCAGTTTTTTTTTC